AGGTGGGAGTGCGTGCTTCCACATGGACCGGCACTGTAGAGGTGGGAGTGCGTGCTTCCACATGGACCGGCACTGTAGAGGTGGGAGTGCGTGCTGCTTTTGCATGGGCAGGCACCATAGAGGTAAGAGTGTGTGCTTCCGCATGAGCCAGCCACCTTGGGTTCCTCTCCACTTCAAAATTCACCATCAGAGATTCTGTGTCAGATTTTAATCTACTCACATCATAAGTGCAGCTATAAAGATTTAATTATGAGATCTATTTTGTAGGCCAGAAAGGCTATCAAGGGCTGTAGTATTATAGAGAGGAATTTGTGTGTGTGTTTTTAAACTTGGAGATGCTATATGATAATGGTATATGGAATGTGAAATTATATTTTAATGGAATCATAAACCCTGACTAATGACAGGATGCCAGGATTAAGGTGCCTGAGGTGGGTAGGATATTCTGTTTTGCTGTCTGATCAACCTCCTTTGATAGTTGTTAGCTTGTGGGTACTTCCAGGCACTTACAGGTGGCTGTGGCTCTGCTGTCTTCTTAAACACTTGCTTCTCCAACATGCAGGTAACCTCAAGTTTATGCTCTTCCTGTGACGATTTTACCAGACAGTTTTATGTGTAGGTAAAAATAGCCTTGGCTGGGCCTAGTGGCTCACGCCTGTAATCCCAGCACTTTGGGAGGCCAAGGCTGGTAGATCACTTGAGGTCAGGAGTTCGAGACCAGCCTGGCCAGCATGGGTGAAACCCTGTCTCTACTAAAAATAACAAAAATTTAGCCAGGCATGATGGCAGGTACCTGTAATCCCAGCTACTTGGGAGGCTGAGACAGGAGAATTGCTTGAGCCTGGGAGGTGGAGGTTGCAGTGAGCTGAGATGTTGCCACTACCCTCCAGCTGGGGTGACAGAGCGAGACTCCGCCTCAAAAAGAAAAAGAAAAAAAAAGCAAAATATATTATTTTTAGAGTATGTACTTGGAAGAATATATTTATGACCTAATAAATTCTTAAACCAGTCACAGAAACCATAAACCTTTAGTGAAAAACCAGTAAGACTGTATTAAACTTAAGCATTTTATCATAAAGAAGATGGACAAATGAGAAGCTACAAATGGGGAGAAGATATTTGCAACACAACCAACAAAAAATTAGTAGGGAAAAGATGTAATAAAAGAAAAACACAAGCAACCCAATGAGAAACCAAGCAGAGCACTTAAACAGACCCTCTGGTGAGAGGAAGGACAGCCTGTGAACCTAAGGCAAGAATTCAGCCTCATCAGCCACCAAGGAGGCACAGAGTGAGGCCATGGTGCACCATCTGATGCTTTGTTACTCCTGCCAGAGCAGCAGGAACCCCACTCTCCTAATCAGTGCTGATGAGGATGTTGAGCAGCTGGGTCTCTTATGTGCCCCTGCTGGGAATGCGCGTTACATTTGGAAAACAGTTTGGTGAAAAAAGATGCACACAGCCAGCAATTTCCTCTCTTCCTTATGAGCCCTAAAGGATCTCAGCTCATTTGTATGAGGGGATGTGTGCAGGGATACTCAAGGCAGCACCGTTTCCAATAGCAAAGCTCTAAGAGCGATCCAGATAACCATCAATAAGTAGGTTGTAGTACAGTTGTACAGTTGAATGCCAGATAGCCCTAGAAATGAACACTGTATGGATGACTGTTAGCACCATGGATGCATGGATGACTCTTAGCACCTAACTTTAAAATTCTTTTTTGTAAAAATCACCATACAGTAAAAATGACCTTCTGGAAGGGGATGGGGAATGCAGTGCTAGGAATTTTAACACATGTGTAGATTTGTAGAATCACCACAGTCGGGATACAAACAATTCCATCACCCTATAACATTCCCTTGTGCTAGCTACCCTGTATAGTATACATTCCCCCAAACCTGGCTACCACCGGCCACACTAGTTTTGCATTTTCAAGAAGGTCTTGTAAATGGAATCACGTGGGGTAGACTCCTTTGTGACAGGCTTCTTTCACCCAGCGTGATGATGCCTTTGAGATTCATCCAAGTTGGTGAGTGCATTAGCCTTACATTCTTTTTTATCACTGAATCTTATTCTGTTGTACAAATGTACCACAGTTTATCTCTTCACCCATCAAAGTATGTTTGGGTGGTTTTCAGTTTGAGGTGATTATGAATACATGTGCTGTGAACATTTGTGTCCAGATTTGTATTTAAACCTACCCAATCACATGGTATATGTACTGTTTAAGAAACTGCCTAACTATTGTTTTCCAAAAAGTCTGTGTCATTTTGCATTCCCACCAGCAATATGTGAGAGTTCCAGTTACTCTTCATCTTTACCAGCACTTGGTATATTGGTATTTTTTATCTTAGCCAGTCTCATAAATGTATAGCAGTATGCCATTGTGGTTTCAACTTGCATTGCCCTAATGGCTAATGATGATGAACAACTTTTTATGTGCTTAGTTACCATCCGTAGATCTTCTTTAGTGAAATGTCTCTTGAAATCTGTTGCCTGTTTTTCAATTGGGTTGTTTGGTTTTTTTGGTTGCGTTTTCAGAATTCTTTGTATATTCTGGATACAAGTCCTTTTTTGGATATGTGATTTCCATATTTTTTCACATTCTGTAGATTTTCTTTTATTTTCTTAATAGTGTCATTAACAGAACACAAGTTATAATTTTGATAAAGTCCAATTCATAAATTTTTCTTTTATGGATTGTGCTTTGGTGTTAAATCAAGAACTCTGTGAATACTCCTAGGTCACAGAGATTTTCTGTTATTTCCTTCTAAAAGTTTCATATTTTTTCATGTTATATTTAGATTCATTATCCAATAAAGTGTGAAGTTTAGGGTGAGATTCATCTTTTTGCATATGAATGTCCAGTTTATTCCAGCATTATTTGTTAAAAATGCTCTTTCTCCATGGAATTGCTTTTGCATCTCTGTCAAAAATCAATTGACCAGGTAGTGTAATTCTTCCACCTTTATTCCTTTTTTCTTTCTTTCTTTCTTTTTTTTAAATAGGGTCTCCCTCTGTCACCAAGGCTGGAGTACAGTGGCATGAACATGGTTCACTGCAGCCCCAACCTCCTAGGCTCAAGCAATCCTCCCATCTCAGCCTCCTGAGCAGCTGCAGGTGTGCACCACCAGACCTGGCTAATTTTTTTTTTTTTTGGTAGAGACAGGGTCTTGCCATATTGCGCAGGCTAGTCTCAAACCCTTAAGCTCAAGCAATCTTCCCACCTTGGCCTCCCAAAGTGCTGGGATTATAGGTGTCAGCCACTATGCCTGGGCTCAACTTTATTCTTTTCCAAAATTGTTTTAGCTATTCTAATTTCTCTGCCTATCTATATAAATTTCAGAATTAGCTTGTCTATATGTACAAGAAAATCTACTGGAACTGGAATTGCATGAAATCTGTGGACCAATTTAGGGAGAATTGATATCTTTACTATGTTGATTCTATGAAAGTGATATGTCTCCATTTATTTAGATCTTTGATTTTTTTCATCAACAATTTATAGTTTTTTGGCATATAGGTCATATGTAGATTTTATTAGATTTATACTTATTTCATATTTTTGGAAGTATTTTAAATAGATTTTTTTGTTTACAGTTGTTCATTGAAAAACATTGTCAGTATATAGAAATACAACTGATTTTTGTATGTTGACCTTGTATTCTACAACCTTGCTAAACTCATTACAGGATTTTTTTTTTTTTTTTTTTTTGGTAGATTTCTTGAGTTTTTTAATCAATCATGTTGGCTGCAAATTGGGACAGTTTTGTTTAGTTTAGTTTAGTTTTGTTTTGTTTTGTTTGAGACAGAGTCTTGCTCTGTCGCCCAGGCTGGGGTGCAGTGGCGTGATCTCGGCTCACTGCAAGCTCCGCCTCCCGGGTTCATGCCATTCTCCTGCCTCAACCTCCCGAGTAGCTGGGACTACAGGCGCCTGCTACCACGCCCGGCTAATTTTTTATGTTTTTAGTAGAGACGGGGTTTCACCATGTTAGCCGGGATGGTCTCGATCTCCTGACCTCGTGATCCGCCCGTCTCAGCCTCCCAAAATGCTGGGATTACAGGCCTGAGCCACCGGGAATAGTTTTGTTTCTTCCTAATCTGGTGCTACCTGTGCTTTCTTTGCGATTCATTATAGAAAAGAAACTTTTTGTTTCTCTTGTTGCCTAAATGCCTTAACCAGAACCTCCAGCACAGATAGAAGGGTTGAGAGTGGACATCCCTGTCTTGTTCCTGATCCTCGGGGAAAGGGTCCAGACCCTGTTACTTATGATGTTAGCAGTGGGCTTTTTGTCGATGTACTTTCTCAGATTGAGGAAGTTTCCTTCTATTTCTAGTTGATAGTTTTTCTCATTAATAGGTGTTAGATTTTATCAGATGCTTTTTCTGAATCATTCTATAATGATGTAGTATTTCTTTTTTAGATTCTTGATATGTGGTGTGTTACACTGATTTTTTTTCCACATTTTTGAATTATATAAAAATTTTGCAAAAATTCATCTACTATAATTAAAGCAAAGTAAAGTTCAAGAAATGCAAAGCAACCCAGTGTGGTGGCTCACACCTGTAATCCCAGCACTTTGAGAGGGCAAGGTGGGAGGATCACTTGAGGCCAGGAGTTTGAGACCAGCCTGGGCAACATAGCAAGACCCGCCTCAAAATTTTTTAAAAGTTAAAAAAAATGCAAAGCTGCCTATATTGCTTAGAAATACAGTAGATGTGATAAAGCTATAATGAATCACAAAGAAAGCACAGGTAGGAAAATAGGTACTTCTACAGCAGGAGCCAGAGGCTGGGCTCTGAAAAGACGCAGCAACCCTACCAGTGATTTGATTGGCACATTCTGATTCTCTTACCTGTGCTTTCCTAAGACTTTGCTATATTGTTTCTTTTTAGATCTCAACTACTTCACAAATACTCTGTTATATTTGCTTATCAGTTATGTATGTGTATATTAATTAGTTTTTTAAAAAACTGGGGGTGTGGGGATGCCTGACCTTCCGAAAAATGGTTTATGCAGCCTTCCTTCCTGGGATGCCATGCTGACCACCCTCTTTCCTCAGGAATCTGCAGAATCTGCTGATCCTGACTGCCATCAAAGCAGACCGCACACGGGTCATGGAGTACATCAGCCGCCTGGACAACTACGACGCACCGGACATTGCGAGCATCGCTGTCAGCAGTGCGCTGTATGAGGAGGCCTTCGCCGTCTTCCACAAGTTTGATATGAATGCTTCAGCAATCCAGGTGGGCTGCTGAGTACAAGCATGTTGGACCTAGCACCCTCTGCCACACCATGAGTGCGCCCTGCAAGCCCTTGTCCTCTCCAAGGGTGTCAGATGCTCTGGTTGTCTAGTGCATCTCTTTGTGCTCTTCTCTGCTCCTCACCAGCAACCCATCTTCCCAGCCTGCTGGCCCCTTGTCTTGATCTTCTCTGTGGGTGCTCCTTCCATTGGCTGTTAGTCTGCCCCTTCCCGATCACTCCCCTGGACTTGGGTACCGACCCAATGTCATCGGTCAGCCCTGGTGACACAAACGTTTGATTTTCAGAGGCACTCACACCTTACCCTCAATGACAGCCATTCCAGCCCTCTGCACCATGCTGCTCACCCTCATACTCCCCATTCCCCCATCTCCTCAGCAGGAGCTTTTCAGGATCCAAGGTCGGGTTCCCAGAGCAGGCCCTCCAGCCCTCCCTGCCTGCCCCTCCGCCTCCCCAAGAACTCTTCTTCTTTAAACTGCAGCCCTTTCTTCCCAGTCTATGAGCCTTTTCTGGTTTTATTTCCAAATCAGTTGTAAACCACAGGACATCTTCTGAACTGCTCTCCTACCAATTATCTTTATGTTCTTGCCTCTTCCTTTACCTTGTTTCTGTACCTGCTGTGAAACCCCCAATCCAGGAGCCCTTCTTTTGTGCCCCCTCATGGGCTCTGGCCTTGCTTTGAGACAGACCAGCTCATCATATTAGGGGGCGGCTGATGCTGCCACCACCTCCACTACTATATAGTGGTGGCCCTCACTGCTACGCAGTCTGCCAGGCTGCTCAGCAAGCCTGTTTCTGCCTGGTGAGCAATCTTATTCCCCACAGCAATTCTTGTGAACTGTTCTACAGTTTCTATGCTCTGTTGCACTGTCTTTCCTCCCAAGGTCAGGAGCAAGTCCCATGTCCTACACCCGGCCCAGAAAGCTTAAGCTGGATATCTCCATCTCTGTGCCTCTGTTGGAGTGTCTCTTCTTTGTTCGGCATCCGCCTTCTCATATAACGGCTCTTGTCTCTCCCCTCAACCTGTCCGTCTGAGAAATGCTTAGTACCTGATTGCTTCCAACAGAATTGAAATGGTCATGAAGCTTTAGGCAGAACAGGGAACCAAACAAAAATGTGTCTGTCTTTTGGAGCTGACTAGGTGTTGCAGAGAGTGGAAGTCCTCTCATAACCCCTAGGTCCTGATCGAGCACATTGGAAACCTGGACCGGGCGTATGAGTTTGCGGAGAGGTGCAGTGAGCCTGCGGTGTGGAGTCAGCTGGCCCAAGCCCAGCTCCAGAAAGACTTGGTGAAGGAAGCCATCGACTCCTATATCAGAGGGGACAACCCTTCCTCTTACCTGGAAGTTGTTCAGGCAGCCAGCAGGAGCAGTAAGTGAATCCCCCTCCCTGGGGCTCTGCGTCTCACTGATGCAAAACCTGGCTGAAGCAAGAAGTTGAAGAGATTCTCACAAATCTGTACGTATAATGTATCCAGAGATATCAGAGGGCACATCTACGTGAAAGTTTCCCACAGGAGTCTGAGATAAACGTTACTCTGTTATTGATACTGGCTCTTTAGTTGACTGTTGCCCTCCTTTATAAGATGAGGTCCTTTAAGCACACTAGATATCTCAGTATCGCCACTGTGGTAATTTTATAGTCAGTGACAGGCCCACAGATTCCCAGGGATCTTCTGGTGTTTCAAGTTGATTGTGGCACCCACCTCTCTGATGTCCAGAACAAGCATTCTGTCTCCTGGCAAAGTCTTTTCTCAGGGAGGCGGCCTGAGTGTGGCTCTGCCCCTCCCTTCCTTCTGAGCTACGGATCTGCTTAGTGAGCATAATCAAGACCTCCTAGACATTATCTGGAGTCTGAGTTCCCAGGGAGACCTAACGAGAGGGTAAATGTGTCTGGCTGAGGACAGAATGGGAGGAATTGAGCCCTTGTTTAAAATTATCAGCTCTGGTTTAACCTATCTTTGTTTTCTGTCCTTAGACAACTGGGAGGATCTAGTTAAATTTCTGCAGATGGCCAGGAAAAAGGGCCGTGAGTCCTATATAGAGACTGAACTTATATTTGCCTTGGCTAAAACCAGCCGTCTTTCTGAGCTAGAAGATTTTATTAATGGACCCAACAATGCCCACATCCAGCAGGTAGGCCACGCCCCCTGGACCTAAATCTGACTGGCAGTGCACAGCCCCCAGGGGGGCTCCTGAAGTCAGGAATTTGCAACCAATCTGGTCAACATGGCAAAACCCCGTCTCTAATAAAAATACCAAAATTATCCAGGCCTGGTGGCACATGCCTGTAGTCCCAGCTACTTGGAAGGCTGAGGCAGGAGAATCGCTTGAACCCAGGAGGTGGAGGTTGCAGTGAGCCGAGATAGCACCACTACACTCCAGCCTGGGTGACAAAGCGAGACTCCGTCTCAAAAAAAAAAAAAGAAAAAAAGAAAATTAATAGCTTCTGTCACCAATAATCAGATAACATAACGGGGAAGAAAACGTTCCTTTTTTAATAGGAATAAAGCCAAAACGTTTAAACCTTAACCGTAAATAAAACTTTTAAATAATTGTGGAGTCTGCCATGTAGATAAAATGTTACCCCTGGAAAATGTGATAAAGAGACATGAAGAGATAATGGAACGTATTATAACTCTATATTAATTACAAGTACACTCTTTTTGGAGGAATGCACACAATTTATTGAAATGAATAACAACGAAGTGGGCTGAGTGCAGTGGCTTATGCCTGTAATCCCAGCACTTTGGGAGGCTGAGGTGGGAGGATTGCTTGGGCATGGGAGTTCAAGACCAACCTGGGCAACACAATGAGACCCCCATCTCTAAACAGGGAAAAGAAAAAAAAAATAACAACAAAATGAACTTTGAGCTTTCTATTTCAAAATGAGTTCCAAGTAGTTGTTGGGGCTGGGCCCGGTGGGTCACACCTGTAATCCCAACTCTGGGAGATAGAGGTGGGAGGATCACTTGAGCCCAGAAGTTCAAGACCAGCCTGGACAACATAGTGAGACCCCCATCTCTACAAAAAACTAAAAAATATTAGCCAAGCGTGTGGCATGCACTTGTAGTCACAGCTACTTGGAAGGCTGAAGTGGGAAGATCACTTGAGCCCAGGAGGTCAAGGCTGCAGTGAGCTGTGATCGGGGCACTGCCCTCCAGCCTAGGCAACAGAGCGAGACCCTGTCTTTAAAATACAAACAAACAAGAAGAAAACAAAGGGGTGAAGGGCCTGTAATCCCAGCACTTTGGGAGGCCAAGGCAGGTGGCTCACTTGAGGTCAGGAGTTCAAGACCAGCCCAGGCAAAATGGAGGAACCCCTTCTCTACCAAAAATACAAAAATTAACTAGGCATTGTGGCACATCCTGTTGTCCCAGCTATTTGGGAGGCTGAGATGGGAGAATCACTGGAGCCTGGGGAAGTCAAGGCTGCAATGAGCTGTAATCATGCCACTGCACTCCAACCTGCGTGACAGAGTGAGAACCCTGTGTCAAAAAAAAAAAGGTTGGAAATTAGGTTAAAGTTTTGAAAGGTATTAAAAGTTCATCATGTAATTCTGTAACCAAGTAAAATTCCAGATGAAAGAATAAAAGGTAAAAATTGAGCTTTACTTAAAGTTTTTTTAATAGGTATTTGAATTTTTGCATGAGAAAGGAATTTTTAAGCATGTAAGCAGTGGAAGAAAGTATAAAGGAAAATATCAGTTCAGCTAATACATAAATATTTGAAATATACCTGTAGAGTTTTATTATTTCTAAACATGGACCTAGTAAGTCTAGATGTAAAAATCTATCCCAAGAAAGTAGAAAAGATCCACATAGCTTTATCTATAAATATTTAATCATTGCAGCATGATTATGCACATAAAAATTAAAAGCCAATGTCTGGCAAAAGGAAATAGTACTTTTGTTTTGTTTTGAAACAGGGTCTCCTCTGTCACCCAGGCTGGAGTGCAGTGGCACGATCTCAGCTGACTGCATCCTCAACCTCCTGAGCTCAAACCATCCTCCCACCTCAGCCTCCCTGAGCAGCTGGGACCACAGATGCACGCTACCACTCCCAGCTAATTTTTGTATTTGTGATAGAGATGGGGTTTCACCATGTTGCCCAGGCTGGTCTCGAACTCCTGTGCTCAAACCGTCTGCCTGCCTCAGCCTCCCAAAGTGCTGGGATTATAGGCATGAGCCACTGCGCCCGGCCAAAAAATAGTTAAATAACAACATCCATCAATGGAGTATAATACAAATGAGGACAGTGAACAACTCTGGGATTTGGAATTGGCAATATCATATTACTTTTCTTTTACTTGCCTGTGTTTGCAAAGTTTTTTTTTTTTTTTAATCAGTGATCGTGCAACTTTAGAAATTGCCCTTATAATCCAAAAAGTAGTTAAAATAATAGAAAACAAAGCCTTGCCCCCAATCCCCCTCTGGCTTAGTAACCGGATTCTCCTGAGTCAGAGGCACTGCGGGCCAGAGCAGAAGCTCCCTCATATAGGGCTGGCTGGGTGGGGCAGAGGTGCACCTGGCTCTTTACCTGTGTTCATAGTGGCCCCAGGCCTGGCAAGCTCTCTGCCTTCTGCTGTCCCCTGAGACAGGGGTCAGTGACCTTCAGCCTGGGGACCAGATCCAGCCCATCGCCTGGTTTGTATACATTTCCCACAGTCTGGCATCAGCTGACTGCACCTACATAATGTCATTTAACTCATTTTCTCTGTGTTTCCTGTAAATTGGCAGTAACAAGTCTTACATGGTTACCCCTTTGATAGAATACTTAATTTATGCATTCATCACCTTTTATTAAATATCAGCTGTGTGCCAGGGTAGGGGCTGTGGATGGAGCAGGGAAAATAGTAATCAGATTTCTGCCCCATGGATCATAAGCTTCTTAAAAATACTGTGGTCTTTTACATGGTGAGTATAAGGAGCTAAGTGAAGCGGGGCAGGGATAGGAAGTGTTGGAATGGTGTGGGTGTGACCGTGGACATTCTGGTTTTAGAAAGGGCCCCTGGGTAGGTGCTGAGTCTGTACACCTCCGGGGAGGAGCTCTTAGAACAAGACAGCAGGGCAAGTGCAAGGGTCCTGTGAGGAGCATTGTGGGGTGCAGGAGCCCATGGCTGGAACACAGCCATCCAGCGAGAGAGGCTTGGGGAGCGATAGGAGAGGCAGCTGTTGATCTGTGGGTCAGGACTTCAGGGGCCATCATGAGGACTCTGGCTTCTGCTCTGGGTGGGACTGGACATTTTGAGCAGAGGAGGAAAATGATCTGGTATAGGGGTCAGCAGAACCCCTCTGGCTGCTATGCTACAAACAGAGCAAAGGACAAGGGTAGAGCAGGGAGTGCGTAGAGGAGGATGGTGCAGTGATGTCACAAGGGGTAGCGACAGCAGATAAAGTGAGCAAGGCAAGTGCAAAGCGTAGTCAGCTTCTGGATGTGTGTTGAAGGCAGAGCCAACAGTGTGTGCTGCCAAGAGGGGTGTGAGAAGAGAAACAGTGAGGGTGGGTCAAGGTTGGGGGTGTGGGGGTCACACTCACCAATGTGGGGACAGTGTGTGAGGACTGCCTGGGGGCATCAGGACTCATTTGGACAAGTCAGACCTCTAGTAGATGCCATGTGAATCTGTCCCGCTGGAAGTAGGAGTTAGGTTTTAGAGGAGAAGCCCAGACTGGAGATGTGCATGGGCAGCCTCCAGGGACAGGCAGCACCCATAGCCGCCACCCGTGTAGGAGAGCATGGCAGTGGGGGTGTGGGGCTGGGGAGGGGATGGGCGAAAGAAACCAGAGCACCCCAAAGCCCCACAGCAGGGAGGTGGGGAGATGGAGAGTGGCCAGCGAGGTGGGAACAAAGCAGGCAGGGGTGTCCAGAAAACCATGTCTGCGTCTGTCTGGAAGAGCAGTGACCCTGGCAGAGGGGCTGGCAGAAGCCTGATTGAAGTGGATTGCAGAGAGAATAGGAAGACAGGGGATAGCTGTTATAGACACACAGATACTCCCTGAGAACTGTGCTCTGATGGGAAGCGTGGAAACAGGCTGACAGCCCCCAGGTAAGTTGAGGGTAGAGCAAGTTGGATTAGTTTTGTTTTATTTTATTTATTTTATTTTATTTTATTATTAGTATTTTTTATTTATTTTGAGGCAGAGTTTTGCTCTTATCTCCCAAGCTAGAGTGCAATGGTGCAATCTCAGCTCACTGCAACCTCTGCCTCCCAGGTTCAAGCCATTCTCCTGCCTCAGCCCCCCGAGTAGCTGGGATTACAGGTGCCCACCTTCACGTTCAGCTAAGTTTTCTATTTGTAGTAGAGACAAGGTTTCACCATATTGGCCAGGCTGATCTCGAACTCCTGACCTCAGGTGATCCACCTGCCTCAGCCTCTCAAAGTGCTGAGATTATAGGTGTGAGCCACCGTGCCTAGCCAGTTTTGTTTTATTTTAAACTCGAGAAAAGAACAGTGGTTCTTTAAGCTTGTCAGAGTGAATGAGTGCAGAAGGTGATGCTGATGCAGGGATTTGCTGAAACCCTGACATGGAGCATGTGGAGAGGGGGTCGGGGCATCCATGGAGCAGACCTTGGTGGCATAGGAAGGACATCCACAGACACTGTGCTGTGAAAGGCTCTCCTGGTTGTTTCTCAGGAAAAGGGAAGCCAAATACTCAGCTTGAGGAATCGTTAGAGCTTTGAGAGGAGAAGGAGATATGAAAGAATTGACATGAGAGATGCCATGGATAATGGCAGGTGGGGTGGTGCGGGAGGTGCCGTGGATGACGGAAGTAGGATAGGTAGTGTTGCCAGCGCATTTGATGTTAGCCTTTATGAATTTAGAGAGACCCATCAGCACTTTGGGGTTCTGCTGTCTGTGTTTAGCTCTGCATCCACAGGTAGGGAATGGGCAGAGAACTATCTCTGAGCAGGACTGAGAACAGTCAGGAGAGTCAAGGGTTCTGCTGTCTGTGTTTAGCTCTGCAGCCACAGGTAGGGAATGGGCAGAGAACTAGTTCTGAGCAGGACTGAGAACTATCAGGAGAATCAAAGGTGAGTGCCAGGAGCTGGGCAGCATGATCTGGGGCCACCAGCTGGGGCAAGTGTAGTGCAAGTTGGGTATTGGGAATACCGGTTGCAGGAATTCAGTCCGGTCACTGGACTGGTGGAGTTGAGGTGCTCAGGATGGTGAGCTGGGCGGTGCTAGGTAGAGAAGGTACTTGTGGCAGGTTCCCAGGGCTGGCAGCTCTCTTCTGAGGTGTAAGGTATGGCTATAGCAGTGACTTGTTCTTGTGAACAGAACAAGGTCCCCAGATCATAGGAAGTCAAGTAAATTGCCGGAGAAGGAGAAGGATTTGTAAATGGCATCAGGAACTAGGGCTGGTGAGTGATACCTGACACAAGATTGGTTGTCAACGGTTTTTATTGAGGAGGAAGGGGAACAGCTTGGAAGCAGCAAGGAGCACAGCTCCTCAGCCCAGGCCCAGTAGGATGCAAATGTAGTAGGTGACAGTCGGGGCCTGAGAGGTGCCAGAACACAGGGTTATGTAGGAGCAGGCAAGTAGAAGTGCCCCCTGAGGTGGAGGAGGGTGTCCAGGGACTGGAAAGCCAAGGCCAACTTCATCTGGTCACTGGTGCGATCAGAAAGATGCTTACCACCCTAGCAAACAGAATAATACCTCTGCCATCTAGGCACTTGAAAGCAACTCTGGAGAAATCTTCCCATTGAAGAGTGTCTCAGTCGAGCTACCCTATTACCCATAGGTTGGAGACCGCTGTTACGAGAAGGGAATGTACGAGGCTGCCAAGCTGCTCTATAGCAATGTTTCTAACTTTGCCCGCCTGGCTTCCACCTTGGTTCACCTCGGTGAGTATCAGGCAGCAGTGGACAACAGCCGCAAGGCCAGCAGCACCCGGACGTGGAAGGAGGTGAGCTGCGGGCAACTGCAGACAGCAGAGTGTGCTCTGGACAGGCATGCTCTCTGTGTTCTTTGTGTTCTGCTCGGTACTCTTCTGCCATATGGGATGAGCCTGGGTGCTGGTCTTTTGCCCAGGCAGGGGTCTGAACCCTTGGGATTCTCAGAGTCTCTAAGCTAGTGTTTGCAGTTGGAACAGAGGCCCCAGAGAATCCGATCTCTGACCAGTTGGCCCCCAGTGGCAGCCTCAATAGCATGGAATTATCAGTGTTATAAGTATTTTCATCACCCTTTTTAATCATGTCACCTTATTTGCATAATCATTGTAAATTTACATTATTGGTCCTTTGTGGCAAATTGATAAATTGTCTCGAGGCTCTCTGATAATATCAGAATCATCTTTAAGTAGAAAAAATTGTGAAAAAATATCCAAAACAGCATTGTTTAATGAAAGATTAAAATTAGCCTAAAGGTCCAATGTCAAGGCCTTTTTGTTTGTTTGTTTGTTTTGTTTTTGTTTTTGAGATGGAGTCTAGCTCTGTCGCCCAGGCTGGAGTGCAGTGGCGCCATCTCGGCTCACTGCAAGCTCTGCCTCCCAGGTTCACACTGTTCTCCTGCCTCAGCCTCCCGAGTAGCTGGGACTACAGGCACCCACCACCACGCCTGGCTAATTTTTTTGTATTTTTTAGTAGAGATGAGGTTTCTTGATCTCCTGACCTCATGATCCACCTGTCTTGGTGTCCCAAAGTGCTAGCTTTCAGGGGTGTGAGCCACCGTGCCTGGCTTTCTTTTTTTTTTTTTTTTTTTTTTTTTTTTGAGATGGAGTCTTGCTCTGTTGCCTACGCTGGAGTGCAGTGGTGTGATCTCAGCTTACTGCAACGTCTGTCTCCCGAGTTCAAGCGATTCTCCTTCCTCAGCCTCCTGAGTAGCTGGGATTACAGGCACATGCCACCAAGCCCAGCTAATTTTTGTTATTTTTAGTAGAAACAGTGTTTCACCATGTTGGCTAGGCTGGTCTCGAACTCCTGACCTCAAGTTGTCCGCCCGCCTCGGCCTCCCAAAGTGCTGGTATTACAGGCATGAGCCACCGCGCCCGGCCAAGGCCTTTGTTAATGTATGCATTACAACTCTACCCTGTTGTTTAAGATGAATAGGCAGAGTTGCAGGAAAATATGTTGCCAATATTATGCGAGGAATATGTCATCATGCAGAATGTATGATGTGATTCCACTGTGCATATATGAGAGATTTGTCAGGGGGCTGGTGTACGTATCACACATAGGAAACAGTGGGCCAAAGATTGTATCTCAAGTTAATGACACTGGCTTATGTGATTATTTTTGTTTATCTTCATGTTCTGCTTTCTCTACCTTGGGAACATGTGCTGTGTATAGAAGGTGGGAGAAGCAGGGAAACTGCACGGCACACCCAGCTCTGTGGTGCAGGGTTAGTCCTGTCAGTTCTCTCAGGAAGCACAGCTGAAGGGCCTCTCTGCACAGGAGAATTCTGTACTTCTCAAGGCTTGTTATCATTAAGTATACATACTGTACAGTACAGAAAACAAAAATAGTCTAAAAAATTATTAAAGCAGACCGGGCACAGTGGCTCACGCCTATAATCCCAGCACTTTGGGAGGCCGAGGCAGGCACACAAGGTCAGGAGATCAAGACCATCCTGACTAACATGGTGAAACCCCGTCTCTACTAAAAATACAGAAATTAGCCGGGTGTGGTGATGGGCACCTGTAGCCCCAGCTACTCGGGAGCCTGAGGCAGGAGACTGGTGTGAACCCAGGAGGCAGAGGTTGCAGTGAGCCAAGATCGTGCCACTGCACTCCAGCCTGAGTGACAGAGCGAGACTCCATCTCAAAAAAAAAAAATTATTAAAGCAAACTCCCCTGTGAAAACAACACTCAGATGAGATGCACTCCGATGGTCATTATTTTTTAGCCTTCCTTTTCAAACCCCAAACCTGGAATTCCAGTATGACTTTCCCGCCACCTGAACAAAACTCAGGGCCTAAGAAGTAATGCACGAACTTTCTTCTTTCTGTGGTCTCAAGCACCTCCTTGGCCTGCTGCAGATTATAAATGTCATATTTTTTCCTCCCAGTCTTGTACAGTTCATCCTGGAGTTAGCTACTTGTTCAGAATCCAACTTAAAACACTCCACTGGCTGGTATTTCTGCATTTGCAACTGTGTCCCTTGTAAGTCAGCTGCTGTGGTGCTGTGTCCTGTCTTGGGGACCCTCACGCTTGCCCTCCATCCCCTAGGTGTGCTTTGCCTGCGTGGATGGACAGGAGTTCCACCTCGCACAGCTGTGTGGTCTTCACATCGTCATTCATGCAGATGAGCTGGAGGAGCTGATGTGCTATTACCAGGTGACCAGATGATCTCTGCTGGTAATGCAGATGACAAGTGATGCCTAAATACTCCACACAGAGGCACGGTCATCCCCTTAGCATGTGACCGTCACAGTGCTGCATCTGCAGATTTGAAGCATGGCCCCAAGGGGAGAATTCATGTGTTAGACGGTCATTTATAAACTAAATTCAGTTGCCTTTTTAGCGATCCTTGACCTCATGGCTGGCTGGAATTTTGTGTTTTTAAAGTTCTCTCCCTCCTTTTGTGTTATTGGGCCTTCAGAAACTCAGTCAGTGGCTTGCATGCCGGGAACAACCCTTGGAGGGTTGCTGAGAATACTGGGCTGGTGTTGACAGAGCTCCGGTCCATAGCCTAGTTCCCCAGTGTGTAGCCCCAGGAGTCTGTTTATCAATTGCCATAGGGACAAAGCACGGGCAAGAGAGGGAACCCCACATGGACCCTTTGGAAGGGCGGGGCCCTGTGTGTTCATGCTGTAGGTGGGCTCTCCCGAGTGGTTGGTAGACAGTGATTTGTGTGTTTAGGGACCTGGGCTTCCACTTGTGGGATTCCTAGAGCTGCATGACACTGCAGGTATGGTTAGTCAAGGCAGATGAAGATGGGATGTGACTCTGCTCAGCAGTGTTACCATAGCCATGGAACTTGAGCCTCAAACCCCTCACTACATGAGACGTCGTCTGGAGGGGCTCGCACCAGCGCCAGAGTGTCTAGATATCAGGCTGGGTGTGATGGCTTTTCAATGAGAAATGCTTTCCCACCCCTAGAGAGGCGCCTGAGAAATGAACTGGAAAGCCAACAGGGAGGGTAATCAACCAGTACAGGGCTGACAAAAGAACAATTTAGTCAGCAAATATTTGAGTACCTACTATGTGCTGGGCATTATTCTCAATAATTGTATCAGTGAACAAAACAGAAAAGCCTCTATTTAATTGAATTGGCATTCAGCAAGGTTGGCAGGCAAGCAACAAACCTAGTGAATAATTGTATAGTGTGTTTGAAGGTGATGAGTTATAGAGGAAAATGGAGCCGGTTTGAGGGCATGGAAGTGCCTGGATGGAGTTTCATGAAGGGGCAGTCAAGGTAGCAGCAATTGATGGGGTGACATTTGAGCAAAGACCTGAAGAAATAGAAGGATTTGGTCATGAGGACATTTGAGGGAAGGGTCAGTGGCCAGGCAAAGTCCTGAGGCAGGAGTGTGCTGTGTGTTCAAGGAAGGGGCTGGAACCAGAGATGGGGCAGGGAGGCTGATGGAGGGCCAGATCTCAGGCCGTTAGGAAGGCCACGGGCTGTACTTGGAATGGATGCAGGGCTGACCTGATGGGGTAAAAGGATCATGGTGGCTCATGTGCTGAGACCACATACTTGAGAAGTAGGGACAGGAGCCAGGAGAGCAGCTAGAGGCTGTTGCAGTGGTCTAGGCGAGAAGGGACAGTGACTCTGACTAGGGTGGTGGTGACAGGGTGAGAGGTGATCAGGCTATCAGGACTGGGTATGTGCTTTAAATAAGCAGCCACCCTGATATGCTAATGCACTGATGTGGAGTGAGAGAGAAAAGCCCGGGAGAACTCCTTTTGGTTTTGGCTTGAACAACTAGAAATACGGAGTTATCACCAGTGGATGAGGGGAAGACTGAAGGTGCAGCGTGGGAGGGAAGGACAGGAATTACTTTTTGGACACGTGGTGCTAAGTCTTGAGCTGCCCGCTGCATGTTCAGGTGGGAGCATTAGGTAGGCAGCTGGAGACAGATCTGGAGCTCCACAGAGGAGGAGCCTAGCTAGAGCAGTGAACCCGGAGTTGCTGACATACAAGTGATCCATATCTATCTGTTTGCCTGCAGTCCCCTGGGGATGAGTGTAGGTGAAAAGACCAGACTGCCCAACAGGGATGGGCTGAGGAGGAGAGCAGGAGCAGCCAGTACAGTGGGAAGAAAACCCAGAGAGTGTGCTGGCTTCTGGATGCACTGGGGAAGAGGGAGCGGTCAGCAGGGCCAGGGGGATGCTCGTGACCTGAAGCTTGGGGGAGACTCAGCCTGATGCTGGCTGGAGAGAACAGGGAGAGGAATGGGAATGGTTGTTGTGAGGAGTCTTTGCTGCAAAGGGAAGTAGAAAAAAATGGGATGGTAACTAGCAGGCACATTGGGTCGAGAGGAGGTGTTTAGGACAGGAGGATAAGTGGGATGCTTGCTGAACCCAGCTGTGGAGAGCGAAGATAAGGCAGAAGAGAAATGAGGAGTCACTGGAGCAGTGGCCTTGGTAGGCAAGCAGGTGGGATGGAGCTACAGGCTGGGCAGATTCCAGACAGGAGCACAGGCGGCGTGTCTGTAGCTGATTGGGGGGTGCAGATGCTGCTGGCAGACAAGTATGCCACTGGGAAATGAGGTTGGTCTGAGAGTGGAGGGGGCACAGAAGGTGTCCTCCTTAGGAAAACAAGAGGCGTGAGGTGATCCTCTAGGTTGGGCCCTCCCAGGGCTGTGGTGGTTAGAGTAAAGGGAAAGGGTCACATGGCTGGGTGTTTCTCCAGGGTTTCTGCATGCTGAGCAGGCTGTAACCAGACATCTGGTCTTGTCCAAGGAGCATGTCAGAGGGGTGTAGGGCTGAATGCAAGGGGCTGGCCATCATAATTAGGGACACAGTGAAACAACAGCCACATGGCATCGTGAGTGGAGTTGAAGGCTTGTTGGAGCCAGGATCTCAGTAATGAGCTGTGGCAAGGGATTAAAACAAATCATTCCCAGACCCTGTTACCACCCACTTCCTACTTTTTTTCTAATTCTTTTCATAAAATTGGCAATACTAATTTGCACTTACTAAACTTGAAAATTGTAGTGCAGTGTGCCACTGGTAATTGTCAGATGATCCAATAAGTTGCTAAGTAAATGGCATGATCTGTAGCACAGTATGTACACACGTTTTCTTCACACGTGCCTCCTCGGGATCATTCCCAGTCACCAGCACGGTCCCTGCGGCGTGGGCATGGGCTGGAGGGTGGCTGCCGGAAGCATGCAATCGCGCTGCCCCACGTGTGGCTGTTGGTCTGCTAGGATCGCGGCTACTTTGAGGAGCTGATCTCAATGTTGGAGGCGGCCCTGGGCCTGGATCGGGCCCACATGGGCATGTTCACAGAGCTGGCCATCCTCTACTCCAAATTCAAGCCACAGAAGATGCTGGAGCACCTGGAGCTTTTCTGGTCCCGTGTCAACATCCCAAAGGTACTGTGTGCTCCTGACAGTCTGGCAGCCGTGGCCACGTGCGGCACAAGCCGACCCTGGCCTCCTTGTCCAGGTTCTGAGGGCTGCAGAGCAGGCACACCTGTGGGCTGAGCTGGTGTTCCTCTACGACAAGTACGAGGAATACGACAATGCTGTGCTCACCATGATGAGCCACCCCACTGAAGCCTGGAAGGAGGGTCAGTTCAAGGACATCATTACCAAGGTAAGAGGGGATACAGAGCACCGGCTCCTGCCAGCCTCTGCCAGGCCCTATTCTGGGTGCGGGGAATGGGCAGGTGGGAGTGGAATGAGTGCCAGCATGCCCCGATGCTGTGTGTGCGTTCACTTGTTTGAGTCCACTACCCTCTGGGCAGATCGTGGTAATTCCATCTTTGAAGGGAACTGACACTTAAGAAGGGCAGGTGACCCGTCTAACGATGCACAGCTGAGCTGTGGGCAGGGTCAGGCCAGCATGCAGCGGTGTCCCTATGGCCCTGTGACCCTGCCTGCCCCTCCCACCACATCACGCCCTCGTGGCCAGACCTCAGTTTGCTCTTCCTTCTGCCCTGTCAGCCCAGGGCTCCCACCCCCACTTCCTGTGGTGGTTTTTCACCATCGGACCATTTTTTTTTTTTTTTTGAGACGGAGTCTCGCTCTGTTGCCCAGGCTGGAGTGCAGTGGCCAGATCTCAGCTCAGTGCAAGCTCCGCCTCCCAGGTTAAAGTCATTCTCCTGCCTCAGCCTCCCGAGTAGCTGGGACTACAGGCGCCCGCCACCTCACCTGGCTAGTTTTTTGTTTGTATTTTTTAGTAGAGACGGGGTTTCACCATGTTAGCCAGGATGGTCTCGATCTCCTGACCTCGTGATCCACCTGTCTTGGCCTCCCAAAGTGCTGGGATTACAGGCTTGAGCCACCGCGCCCGGCCCCATTTTTTTTTTTTAATTCATGTCTCTCCCCAGTACCAGCGGCCTTACCTGTCTGGGAGTGGGCCTCCATCCTGTAGCCTCACTGGGCTAAACCGGGACCCAAGTTCCTCTGCCAGCAGCCACAGTGTTGGGTGGTGTCGGGTTTGGGTGCTATGGTCAAATGAGCCCTTGTTATTTTATTTCCTGGTCTCTTAGAGAGTTCAGCGTTAGGACTCACCCTTCTCCAGCTCTGTATGTGAGTTTGGTGAAGGGGCTGGAATTCTTTATCCTCAGCCCCCCATCCCTTTGCATTGGGTATCTGCACTTTGTGCCATGGTCCTTGGGTAACTAACTGGTCACAGTCCACTATGACTGGAGTGGTACAGCAGTGAGCTGTGGCCTCGCTCATGCACCTTCTTTTCCGCATGCAGCTACTGAGGGTGGGCGTGAGCGGCAGATGGGCTGCCGGGTGAGGCCTTCAGCCTCTGCCTTTCCTGGGAACTATTTGAAGGACCTCAGTGTTGAACACCAGGCCACATACCTGAACTTCTTGTTGGAGGACATCCATGTTACTGGGCATGGTGGTACATGAAGGTGGGGGCCTTTGATGGGGCGTCCCACCCTGAGCAGAGTCTGCAGGTTGCTGGAGGGAGTGCCGCCAGGCCATGCCTTACTGTGGCCTGGCACACATGGCTGGTGCCTTGTAGATTTGTCTGTGTGCTGGAAAATCCATACTTGATCATTCCTGTGTGTACTTTATTCACATTTTAACTCCTCTGATATAAGGGTGTTTTTAAAAATTGTTGAGCCGTGGTGGAAGTGGCCATGCTTTTGTTTCTTAGTGACATATAAAATAATAGCAGGACAGCTGAGACTCGCTGTGTGGGAGAGCAGCGTCTCTCATCTGGTGCCTGCAGGGCTGATGGCAGAGTCCAGTTCCTTGTGTGACTCATGATGCTTCTACTACAACCTGCTGTGTAGGAGACAGACACTGTCAGCTCAGGTGTGAAGGGGGCAGGAGGATACTCGCCAGTGCAGGGGCCCAATCAGATGGATGACATCCAATCTATATTTGGGGGCATACGATAGCAGGAATCCACTTAGCCATAGGGCTGGGCCAGCAGCAACCTGAGCAGGGGTGCTTGCTAACTCAGACAGGGGGGCACCCCAGCTCAGCCGTTTGCTGTCTCTGTCCATGTGGGTTAGGGGTGTCACCGCTGTGAACCTCGTTATCCCATTGATACAATGGGCATCATGTTTCCCCCTGACCAAGTGGTCCATGGCAGGTGCCTGGCATCCAGTGGGCACTTCTTTCAGGTCGTGCAGCACAGCACGCCAGCCAGCTACCCTGGAGCTTGTGATGGAATCTGAGCTTCAGTTTTCTCTTCTTTTGTTTTATTATTATTATTTTTTGAAACAGTGTCTTGCTGTGTCACTCAGGCTGGAGTGCAGTGGCGCCATCTCTGCTCACTGCAACCTCCACCTCCCAGATTCAAGTGATTCTTCTGCCTCAGCCTCCCAAGTAGCTGGGATTACAGGTGCTCGCCACCACTCCCAGCTAATTTTTGTATTTTTAACAGAGACAGGGTTTTGCCATGTTGGCCAGGCTGGTCTCAAACTCTTGACCTCAGGTGATCCTGAGAGGTGAAGCCAGCTGGACTTCCTGGGTTGAGTGGGGACTTGGAGACTTTTTGTGCCTAGCTAAATGACTGTAAGTACACCAATCAGCACTCTGTGTCTAGCTAAAGGATTGTAAATGCAGCAATCGGCACTCTGTAAAATTGCACCAACCAGCACTCTGTGTCTAGCTAAAGGATTGTAAACACACCAATCAGCACTCTGTAAAAACGCACCAATCAGCGCTCTGTAAAATGGACCAGTCAGCACTCTGTAAAGTGGACCAATCAGCAGGATGTGGGCAGGGCCAAATAAGAGAATAAACCTGGCCGCCGGAGGCCACAGGCAACTGAGCTCGAGTGCCTTTGGGGTGTGTGGAAGCTTTGTTCTTTTGCTCTTCATAATAAATCTTGCTGCTGCTCACTCTTTTGGTCTACACTACCTTTAAGAGCTGTAACACTCACTGCAAAGGTCTGGGGCTTCACTTCTGAAGTCAGCGAGACCACAAACCCACCGGAAGGGAGAAACTCTGGACACATCTGAGCATCTGAAGGAACAAACTCCAGACACACCATCTTTAAGACCTGTAACACTCACCGTGAGGGTCCATGCCTTTATTCTTGAAGTCAGTGAGACCAAGAACCCACCAGAAGGAATAAATTCTGGACACAATCTGCCCGCCTCAGCCTCCCAAAGTGCTGGGATTACAGGCATGAACCACCACGCCCAGCCTTCCGTTTTCTCTTCTATGAAACAGGGATACTACCATGTCTTCTGGGGCACTGGCTGTCCTTGCTGACCGTGCTAGTGGGCACAGGCCTGCCAGAAAGGGCCAAGAAAGCACATGATACCGGGTGTCCTGCAAGGGAAGCTAGGACTGCTGGTGCCCCACTTCAAGTCTGCCCACTCACATGGTGCCCTGCAGGAGCCTCAGTGAAATAGGCTTGTCCTTGGATGGTTCATCTCCTTCATGGGAAGCCCGAGGAGCCTTGTGGTTGGCGGGGAACCAGGTGGGGCTTTGAGGAGGTGATTTGCCACAGAAGATGAACTTGAGTCCCTACCCTCCACCTCAGCCCCACATCACATCCTGACTGCCCTCTGCTTTTTCAGTGTCTAGTTGAGATCCCCCCTGACCTAGCCCTGCTGCTACTGAGTAAAGGGCCAAGCTGGAAGGCTGCCAGGTCCTACAGCTCCAATACGAGTGGACCCACAATGGCCTGTGGTGGAGTCTGGGGGCCCACCAGTGCCGTAGGTGGAGACTTGTGATGGGGCCAGGTCACCATTCTGCTCTGCATCCATGGTGGCAGGTACTGGGGACCTTGCTTCCTGTCTGGGTCAGAATCTTTGGTGACAGTGAGTGCTCTAGCACAAAAGGGAAAGAGAAGGAGAAAGAAGATACTCTGAAGTGATAAGCCATAGAGGGGTCATTAGAACCCTTTTAGTCAGTAGACCCCATCGGGCCCCACATTTTTGCCAGGTCACCCAAACCCAGCAGTGCTGGAGGCTCCAATGGTGACCACCCTGGGCTCCCAGCATGGCTTTAGCTCCAGCTGTGCCCTGTGCACACCCCAGGACCCCCCCACACTCATGCGGACACATTCATCACCACTGACTTAGTTCATGCCCATCTGGCTTACATGCTCCCTGAACAGAGCTGTGTCCAGGCCCTGGACATCGATGCCACAGTCATCAGGCCACCAAATGACATAGCTGGGGCCGGGCGTGGTGGCTCACGCCTATAATCTCAGCACTTTGGGAGGCCGAGGCGGGCAGATCACGAGGTCAGGAGATCAAGACCATCCTGGCTAATATGGTGAAACCCCGTCTCTACTAAAAATACAAAAATTAGCCGGGCGTGGTGGCGGGTGCCTGTAGTCCCAGCTAATCGGGAGACTGAGGCAGGAGAATGGTGTGAACCCAGGAGGCGAAGCTTGCAGTGAGCCAAGATCGTGCCACTGCACTCCAGCCTGGGTGACAGAGCGAGACTCTGTCTCAAAAAAAACAAAAAACCAAAAAAAGATGACATCGCCCAGCAAGAGAATGGTGGCAAACCAGTGGGGAAAGTGCTGAGAGACACAGCAGCCTGGCTAGATCTCGAGACCCAGGAGCACAGGCACAGGGTCCACCCAGAGTGGTCCACTCACTGCATGGGCTGACCTTCGGGTCTCACCCAGGGTCTGAGCACCACAGTGTTTCAGCTCAGAAGCTTTGGGGATGTCACAGGATGTGCTGTCCAGTTGGTTATGGCTCAGGCTGAGGCTTCAAAGGAAGGCTGGGGTAATCTTGCTTGGGTGGAAGCATACTGTGTTGTTCAGTTTTGCTGTTGGGCTTCATTCTGGCTGATTACACTTCATTCATTCATTCAGCAGATACTGGTTGAGTGTGGACCCTGCATCAGATACTGGTGTGGTTGCTGGGTTGAGGCAGGAAACCCTGAGACTAGCCTCTTAAGAAAAATGGTCGGTGTGTCAGTGCTGGGAGACAAAATACCTCAGGGATGGGAGGAGGCACCTTCACGGGCCATTGAGTCTTATAGAGGGTAGTCGTGGCAGGCTTCAGTAGTAAAGTGCCATTTGAGCAAAAACTGGAAGGAGCCCTGGGGTATCTGGAGACAGGGACAGGAACTGACCCTCAGGTTTGCTCCCCGCAGGTTGCCAACGTTGAGCTCTGTTACAGAGCCCTGCAGTTCTATTTGGATTACAAACCACTGCTCATCAATGACTTGCTGCTGGTGCTGTCACCCCGGCTGGACCACACCCGGACAGTCAGTTTCTTTTCAAAGGTGAGTCAGCGAAAACCCCAGGTAGAAGAGTGTACTGGGCTAGCTCTAACAAAGTCATCTGAATGATAGCACCTTGATAAAGAGCTTTTGAAATGACCCACAGCTAACTTGAAGATTCACCAGTGTATCAAACTGTTTTAGATTTCAGACACAGGAATACCTCCCATATCATGCTTCACTTTATTGTGCTTCTCAAATTCTGTGTTTTTTAAAAGATTAGAGGTTTGTGGCCGAGTGTGGTGGCTCATGCCTGTAATCCCAGCACTTTGGGAGGCCGAGGTGGGCAGATCATGAGGTCAGGAGATCGAGACCATCCTGGCTAACACGGTGAAACCCCGTCTCTACTAAAACTACAAAAATTAGCC